ACTTGGGCAAGGAGAGTCAGGGCAATGCTTTTTGACTTATTTGACTAGATTGGCTTGAAAAGTCATTCGTGGAACAGCTAGAAGAACTTAGGACAGTTTGCCCAAGTCGCCGGGAAGGCGATTTCCATCCAGTTTGCTGAGACATCCTTAAAGTCATGAATCGGTAGCAAATTACATATGGAATATTGTGAGTGTGGGGCTGGATGATTCATTAATTCAAATCAATCACATAATTAGAAGACCAGCAAAAGGAAATGAAAGGCTCCAAAAGGAAATGAAAAAAAAAATGTTAAAATCATGTAATGATATTTTACAAAATTTGTCATCTTTGCCACCTTACTCTTATTATTGTAGTATTATTTATTATAATTTTTTTTAATTTCATAAGAAGGAGATGGTTTAGGCCATCTATAAACTTTTTATTGTTTATGCCTCTAAAAGTCTTTATTGAGACCAACTTCAGTGCGTCACATCAGAGTTAAGAAGAGAATACTCATTAGTAATTACTAACACAGACTCACGTGTTGTGGTTGAATCTTGCCATTGTTTAAGTTGCTTCTTTCCTCCAGTTTCCATCCCTACACTCTCAAAAACCAGTTCACCCTCTGCTTATCTCAGTCTTGTAGGCCTGAAATAATTCAGGTTATATTGGAACTCTGCAAGCCAGAGTTTAGTACTTAATGTCTAAACTGTCAGTGTTCTAATTTCTCGTGGAGTTCTAAGTCCAACTTCATTTGCAATCTCTACAGTTTCCTGCCAGAAAACATGATAATGGGATGTTAATTTAAAGGGCAAATCTAGACATTATGAAATGGCTCAGTGCTTAAAACCGAAACCAGATGTGCTTGGGCGATGACTGCGCCATTTCTTTTCTCTTCTCCGAGGGTCAGTGTGCAGCCCAGGAGCCAGAAACAGTGCATCGTCACTGATGATGATCAGCTTCTTCCAAATGAAAAAAATAAATGTGTAATTTCTCAGTTATTCTTTTCAGAGAAAATAAAATTTTCTATTCAAGCCTTTTTCAAGAGCTCTTCATATGGGTGAATATGTTATATTAGGAGTCTAAACTCACTTCTTAGAAATTTTTCAGTTTTAGGAAAAGTGGTTACACATACACTCAGTCTATAGTTTTCA